ACAAAGCAGTGCAGACACGTAAAGAAGAAAAACATGTCTGGTTCTAAACATTTCCAAGTCTTCTGACTCACATCTGTACCAGCCTTCCATGTGGAAAAAACTGAAACATCCTCCACTCTGATTTTCATGGTAATTCCAGCTCAGAGTGGTTCAGCCTCTCTAAGCACCTGTCTCAGTACGTGCAGAGATTTTCTCACCTAAACCCAACCTGAAGCCGAAAGCACTTAGAGATATTATTTTTAATGTAAAGTGCATTATAAATAAAATGTATTATTGTTATGAAATATGTGACGCCCACCTTCCCTACATTCGGTTTGCTTTAGCTTCATCGTTGTCAGACGAGGGGAAAGAATGCACAGGGATTAAAAAAAAAGATGAACTCACAATGAAGCCGTTACTGCCGCCATCTTGACAGTAGAAGAGACTGTTGCTGGCCTGGAAGAGGAACAGGCCCGTCTTGTCATGGTAGTCATAGGAGGTGATTCCAAACGCTCCCAAACGTTTACGTTCTCTTAGCAGCTCCTCCTCTCGAGAGTAAGCCCCTTGGTGCGGCGTGGCCTGCGAGATTGGAAAGAACCATTTTTGCATTCTAGATATTGAGTCTCCTAAAAAATAAAAGCTACTTTCTCATTTAAACTGATAGCGTTACGTTTAACTCCTCCCAGCCAGTAAGTGGCACTCCCGCACTTGTTGGCGAGCGTGAGCGTCCTGTCAGGGGTCAGCATTCGATAGGCTGCGTTAGCATTTGTTATTACTTTTGCTTTTCAAATGAAGAAACGCCTAAAGGGCTATTCCACCATTTGCTCACTACCTTAGGCATCTTTAATGGATCTTTTATGGATATTTTAATGTCATTTATGTCAATATAATAACAACAAACGCCAACTTGCCTGAATATATTAAGAAAAATAACTAAAGTGCTTCTATAAGAAATCATGAAAAACACTTTTTTTGGTCCAACATAACCTTAGGCTACGTTCCCACTGCAGGCCTTGATGCTAAATTCCGATTTTTTTTCGAAATCCGATTTTTTTACGTTGCTGTTTATATTTCCAACTATATGCGACTTGTACGTGATCTCCTGTGTGAACTGCAGTCATACAACGCAAGTGTCCCGCATGCGCAGTAGAGGACGTAATGACGTCACAGGCCAGCGTGTAAACATGGATGGTAGGGGCCGGCGTGCAACTAGCAGTCTTTTCCAACCATAAAAATACATTCTTTTCAATATGGTTAAACATAAATTCCGCTCTCCGCATCATGATCTGCCATGGTTGTTGTTTTTCTTGCTGTTTCTGTGTAGCAAGATGCATTATAGTGACGTTTGTTGGGTATT